GGTCGTCATGTACTACGAAGTTAAACTTCAACGTTGAAGCCCAGGGTGTACCCAATGCATACAGATCATAGGCGACGTCATCCAGGAGCCCGAAGTGGCATCTTGTTTGTGAGGAGAGGGCAATACATCACAATACATGACATGACAAAGTGTTTGTTGCTTATGAATGTGTCCTGGGTGGCTTGGTCGGCGACTTGCGACGCTTTTGACGCCCTTTAGGCAATGATGTTGACTCGCCGCGAGGCTCTACAGGAGCCAGTGTCAGACGATTTTGGCCTCCCACAGGCGCTTGCTTTTTCTGTGTGAGGGGGGAGAAAGTGGCAGGTGGAGAGCAATAACAATTATAGTATGTTTCCCTGGCGAAAACGGATCCTTTGGCCTACGCAAATGTATGGCCTACGTTGGGTCGCATTGGCTCCTGCATGGGATCCTTAGGGCTGGGGAGAGTGTGAATTTGGAGGTCGTGCGGTTCGCGGTTCCCCGTGATGACTGGCCTATATGTTTCATGTTCGTGGCGTGGTCATGGGAAGCTTCGGGTAGCGGCCGGACGGGCGGAAGGTTCATGCGTCCGATCCCGGCCGTTGGAAAAGGGATCGAGCTGGGAGTCCCAGTGGTTCCAAAGACTATGGTTGGGGCCCTTGGTTCCTGAAACAAAAAGAGTGGTATACAACTGGGATCACCTGAGTGTTCTTTCATGTTACACTGAACTCATCCAAACGTCCTGGCGAACATGGAGAGTATGAAGTGAATCTAGAAATGAGATTCCCTCCCACTTCGACCACCTGTAGTATGCATGGCTTCAGGCAGTTTAAACGACCTGCAGGGCCTGCAGCAAAGCCTTTGGCAGCGGTGAGGATTAAAGGAGGGCAAAGTCCTTGAATCTACTGCCTTGTTTCTTTTTGATGGGCATGTATCCTTGAATGCCCTGGGCTTCACCCCCAAACTGCCGGCCTGTCAACAGAAGTTCCACAAAATTCCGCCTGTTTGGGGTTTGATCGCGAGATCAAGCCCAACAAACATCCATCAAAACCATATCAAGCACGCTCCATCACGCTCCCTTCATCTCCCAACACGCTCAACCCACTGGCACCGGCACCGGTCATAGCGCCGCGCTCGTTTGCCCTGCCTGGAGGCGGCAGCCTGGGCCTTGGCCAAGTCGGCGCCGGCGGCGAAGGCCTTCTGCGAGGCCTTGAGTAAGGGCACCTTGCGCCCGCGCACTCTGAAGGCGGGGGATTCCGGGGATAAGTTGGGGTTGATTTGCCGTTTTCGCTGTTCCCAAAAGCAGCAGGTCAGTGTGGAGGTTGCAGTGACACGCCGTGAACTACAAATTTTGGTGGGTTTGCAAGTTCAGCAACCTACCAGCTCAACATGAACCTTGAAAATGCTTGAACACTAAGTCTAGCACTAAGTCATGGTGTTCATGGTCTGTTTTCTAGCACCCCATGTGAATCATGTGCAACACGACCGATGTGGCGGCAACATGTGAAGCGGCTGCGATGTCATGGGTTGAGTGGATTTGCTGCCCTGTTCAGTTGCAGACTTGGGATGATCCAGACATATCCAGAACATGTTTGTGCCTTGCCGAACGTGTTTGTCAGAGGAGACATAGGCAGACCCCCGTGGCTGAATAGCTTGTCAATCTTTTGCGGATCGAAAAGAACCAGAGGAGAGGATCCCACAAGGATATATCGAAGGGACTTGTTGAAAGCTGTGTTTTCGTTGAGATCCACCTGTCTAGCCAAGATAGTGACCCCTTTTCAGGGTGAGCCAATGTGTTTGTTTTTGTTCTTAGGGAATTAAAATTAGGGAAATAATCAATACAATACTGTACATCACAAAGCCTGCTGAGTGGATATTCGCAAGGAATTCAAGGTGCAAGGATACACAGCGGGTGTATCTTTGAAATTCGGGGGACCCCCAATGCATGAAAACCAACCAATGGAATTCCAATGGATGAACAAAAAGGATCAAAAAGGAACATTTAGTTCCTTCAAGGTCGCCCTTTTTTGTTGCAACCCTGTAACACCCAAACCCTAACAATCCACCTTTAGAATGTGTTGCCGATCAGTTGGTGTGATGTTCACTTGTAAGGGTCGCCGTAAGTCAATATACCTTGGAGCTGTAACAGTCAGTAATTATCGCTATATATTTTTGAACAAGGCCTGCAGCCTAACCATCATCATCCACTGAGGCCCAGGTAATAGGATAGACCCCAAATATACCATCCATGGCGTGTTTGGGAGATACACTAGACACCTCCCGCCCGATGGTGCTGGGGGCAGCCCGAGCTAACTCGTTGCAAGGCCATGTTCGTCGGACAGGCAGGGCGTGGCGTTTTTTCGCGCGTATACCGGACCTCGTGGGGATGACGCGTCAGGCCTGGTGGTGTTCCAATGAACCTTTTCAGGGGAGCTTCACAGAATGGAGCCTCCAAAGTGGTGCTCAGAGTTCAAGTCCCTAGGTCCCTACTGGATAGAGTTGGATACAGGAATAGTACCAGAAGTTACGAAGAGGCGTCCGTAAAGCACATATAGAGCACTTTTGGGCTTTGTTGAAGCTGCAAAAGATCGGAGATGTGATCTTGATCTTGTAAAAGGATTGAGCATGTCTAAGTGAAAAGCCCTGGAAATCGGGGAGTTTGGTTTGATGGGATCATCTCACCGACAGGCGTCCAAACACCTTTTGAGGAAGTACGACTGGAGCTATCCCAAGAGGGGGTCACTGGCATGGTCACGGTTCATCCCGAAGGCCAGCTGTGTGTTTTTGTCACCATAGCCACTGTAGCCACCGTAACCACCGTAGCCACCCGTAGCCACCATAGCCCATGGCTTACTTTGGAAGTATGGGTCAACGTTTGAGGGAAGGGCTGCCTAGGCGATGCTCCTTAGCCCAATCTTAATTTCTTTTAAATTTGCTATAGTTCTGAACAAAGTAATCTTTGCTTGGATCTGCTTGGTAGAGCCCTTACACATTCTTAGTGTGTCGATCGATCCCTTGGATGGTCCTGGTTGCTACAGTTTTTGATGAAGTTGATATTTGTGTTCCGTAATTGCACGCGGCCCTGAAAATTCCATTGGACGTTTTTGGAGCACATCTTTGGGGACCAGGTTGACGGTCACAGACAATCGACCCTCACAGTGGATGTTGCTCTGGCGGCCTTTGTTCTCACAACGGGTTTTTCAGCCCTCCGACCAACGGTTTTGGGACATTGGCATACAAGTGGAACCATGGAACCCCTCCCCCGGTGTTTGGTGAAGGAAAGTAGTCTTCCAAGAGACCATGTTCATCCATTTTCCATGTGATGTGTTCAGAGTGTCAAACTCAGGAGATCTGATGCAAAGAACAAGCCTGAAACGTCCAGAGGTCTGAGGTCCTGACGCTTCCCTGAGCTTGTTCGCTGGCACAGCCGCTGCTTCAGGGCCGGGCAGGGAAGACCTCCACCCTGAAAGCCTTGACGGGTCAAAGGCGCGAGCACAGACCGGGCGTGACAAGGGTTTGGAACCATCCGGGAGGTCCAAGCAGACGGTCCAAAGGTCCAGGAACTCACTCGAGGCAACCCCGCCAGAGAGTTCTGGTTTAATTTGGTTTTAAGGCGAGGCCCTTGACTTTGTGTCGAATTGTAGCAAGGTAGCGTTGAAGAGTCTTGTTTTCAGGACAGTTCATGGTGTGTATACAAGTTTAAACAAGATAAGTCTGTGGATGCACACCTTTTGACTCTTACTTTAAAGCTACACTTCTTGTTGCACAAACTGGAACACCAGAAGGGTCCTTGAGCTGTGAATACCACTAACCGTCACTAACCCCGGGTTGCGCATCTTGACCGTCAGCTGGTGCTTTCAGTGCTTGCGGGTGATTTCAGCGCTGCTCCGGGTGAGAGGGTCAACAAGCAACATCTCTGTCAATCTCTGTTGGACACCCCGAACCACACCACAGACAGCAAGCAGGAATAGCAGCTGCTGTTTGAACCTATGACCAGCGCTCTTTCGAGAAGAAAACCTTTCCACCTGGTGGAAACCCCAACTTTTGCTGCATGCCTTGAAGTTGTTAGAAGAAGAAGAAGAAGAAGATGATGATGATGATGATGATGATGTATTCCTTAGACCCTTGGCTGTCTTGGCCTCGCTTCGCCAGGTTTCAAGAGCAAGAGCCTTCCACTCATGGCCTGAGTACTGAAACTCGCCAAGAATGTTGGGGGAGTCGCTCTGCAGGAGTTGCTCTGAGTGATCGCTTTGACCTGTGGTTTTTCTCTTTTTTTTCAGCAGCGAAGCCCCCCACGTGCAGTCCGTGGTTGGGACGTTGGGACGTTGGGCCCGGCGCACCGAACTTAAATCCATCCGGAAAGGAACGCCCAGTTCGGGCGCTTTTGCCTGCGAGGGTCTGAGCCTAGAGAGTGGGAAGAGGGGGAAGAAACCTGCGGGGGCTGCGTAAACTTCGCAAGGCAGTCTGCGGAGGATGGTTCTTGGATCGTGGCGCTTTTGCAAAACAAGCCCATTGGTATCCTGCGGTCCTTTGGCCGAGAATAAGAAAAGTAGGTTCGCTCCTTGTGATAGATCACATATATGTTTTTTCTTTTTACAGTTTTCTGCCACGTGTTACGCAGCTGACAGAACCAATGCCCTGCAGTACATGCAGTGAAGATTGGCTTGATGCGTAAATCAATGTAAATCACCTTGATGGATCAACACGCCCTGGCAATCACATTTCAACGACAAAAACTGAAAACAAAAAAAACATATCCACATGTTCGTGTTCTTGAAGAGAGGCATCCTTCCTCAACTGTATATCTATATCAAACCATCTTGCAGCCTTTTTTGTGAAGCCTTGCCCGAAATCGAAGATGCGTTTACATGTTGGCTCGGCGCACTGGTCTGGTCACAAGAGGTTGGCTCAGCATCTCCGGAGCTCAGCGGCTCCGCAGAAAGCGTTTGACCCACCGAGGCCACACCTTTGGTGCAAACCGAGGCCGTCCTGGACGTGCCCCCTGGACCTGCAAACCGGTGGAGCGAAGAGAGTCGGTGACGAAGAAAGCTGCTGAAACGGACGGTCATGGAGAAAGCATTTCTATACCTGGACCCGACTTCAAATACCTTAATTTTATAGAACATGGAACATGACCCTATTAACACAACAGGTATACTTGTACCCATCTTCTGAGCTACTTGTACTTTGAGACTCCAGGTATACGGGAAGATTGGGAAGATGACGAGAAGCAGGGTACAACGGGAAAAGATGCAGGATAACATGCTTTTGGAACAAAAAGAAATCGGATATGGCTGGATATGGTCACACGAAGCTGCTACAGCTTGACCCACAGCGATATGGTGCCTTGGCAACCTGGTTCAGCTTCTGTCAAGCCGTCCCCAATGTTTGGGTCTTCATGGGTTTGGGAGACGAGATACAGAAAAAAAATGTCGGAAGAGGAGGCGCCGAATGCTATAGAAGGTCTCTCATTTGAGATCATTTGAGAGATTCTAGCTTGTGACTGATGCAATCCCCATGCAACATCTCAGTGATGTTGATGTTCTTGTTTGGAAATTGTCCAAATATGTCCCTGATGCAATCCCCGTCCGTTTTCGAGATCCTACCACCTGCAGCAAGGAGGGCACGTCCCTTGAGAGATCGAAGAGGTGAAGAATTCGGGAGTCCCTCTTTGGAACAGAGACCCCCTGGACCTGGCTGGGTAGAGTTGCCTTCTTGCAGGGGGTCCGGAACGCCAGGATACGCCAGGTGTCGGCCTCCCTCGGACTGAGCTACACACGAATCCGAGAACCAAGACTCTCAGCGTTTTTCCTCGTTCTTCTGTGGGCCCAGGCAGTCCTCCTTCGTAAGCCAATGGCAGCTCGTGGACCGAAGCGAGCACGAGATTCATGGGGCGCGCTTCCCAGCCTTAGTTTCGCCCTGAGGGCTCCGAAAATAGCAAGATATGGTCAACTTGTGATGGTTATATTATGTTATATTGGCCACTCCGCCACACTGCCAGTACTTGAGACAGTCCACGGATCTTAGACTTAATGTCCTCATCAGCTTGTCACAGACCTCGAAGTGTCATCAAATGTCAACAGTCCATTCCTAACATGCCGAGTTTCACTCACCAAACAAATGACGCGCTGTACGTTCCTCGCAGCACTTCTCTTCCCCCCTCAAGTCACTTCGCAGGCGGAGCTGGAGAAGACCTGCGCCGCCTACGTCGCCGAGCGCCTGGCCCAGCGCCGAGCGCCGCTGGCCGCCGCGGCCGCGCCCTCGCCGGACGGCGAGAGACCGGAGGGTGGCGACGCAGGCCGACGCGGAGAAAGCAGCCCGAGGGGTTTCATGGGATGGGGGGGACATGGAGTCTCGACCCAAAATCGATTTTGATATAACATATATACATCATAACTGATTTGACACCTACAAACAAAGGTTCTAAACGATTATAAGTGATTTGACCATATTTGACCATTTGACCCTGTGTGTTTGGATCAGAAGTTGGAACCTATATTTGGGGTGGTCGAAAATAGAGCTCACTCAGGCTCTATAGGTTTGTTGTAGTTAATGTTGGATCCTGATTAGTAAATAGCCCCCCCTAGCTAAACGATTGGAGGGGTCTCTGCAATAAACTAGTACCAAAACAATTCTGGATTCCTGGTAGACTTCCTTTTGCAATTCAATGTTGTATTCATTTTCCTTTCATAGATTGTATTAAGTTTCCTTTCTCAGGTGCTTTGTAGTTGTTCTCAGCAATCCCTTTGCTTTGCAGCCTCAGGATTGCTCTTGGAATTGATGGGTTTGGAAAGCTGTCAGTTTTGAAGAAATCCTAGAGAAACCCATCTCAGTCAATGAATCATAATCATTGGCCTCATGAGCTAAGTAAAAGAAAATTCCACGAAAAGATCTATTTTTCATCTGGAAAAAACTTTGCACAATTGAGGCCCCTTTAACAAATATATTATTGAGGATCATTGCCCACATGCAGGTGCCTAGAGTGAAGCAGCTGCGTGTTAAAGGAGTGCTGAGGAAAGTCCTGCTCCAAAGGCAGCCACTGAGTCCAGCCCCCAAAGCTCACCACCAAGCTCAGAAAAGGTGCAGTCCAGTTTGTCTAAGTTTTTTCAAGGCAGGGTTTTAGTTAATTATATAACATCTTGTTGGTGGTTTGTTTGTTTGTGTTTTGCTTTGCTGCTGGCTGCTTGCCTGGGAAGGGAGGGGGTAGTGCAAGCGGACAGGGTTCGTAAGGAATTCAAACCCTTATCAAGGTCCAATATAAAAAGAATTAGGGTCCCCCAAAAAAGTTAGCATTATTCAGACCCAATTTTTCAATAGGGGTGGCTGGAATAATTTTGTAAAAAAAGTCGCATTATCGAGGACCCATTTACTAATCAGTATCCAACATGATATATAATATATATGTGGGTGTATTGGGTGTATTGTCACCTGGGATCTTGATGGATCATGCAAAATTTACGAAAAGATCTGGAAAGCCTATATAATATATAGGTTGTAAGCATCCATAAGAGATGTTTATCTTGATAGATGGGTTTGGAGGGTCAGGAGCAGCAGCCTGGATTAAAAGACCGTTCATTCTATGTCTTGGTAATGGTTGTTTTGCAAGTGATTGGTGTGTATGATGAGACAGCCAATCAACCCGATATGATGTGCTCTTGGTTTCTTTGTTTTTCCATCCATCCAGAAACTACCATCATGCCCTCCAACATGGGCCCTATGGTACATGAAGAACTGACACCTTCGGGCCCGCCTGGTGGCCCACTCCTTTCTAGCTTGGTATCACCGATATCTCGCCGATTGCTGGCCTGACCCGGGTAGTGCCACCCTGTTGTAGTGGTCTTTCAGAGGATAGATCTCGTCAAGATCTCAATTGTTGGGGGAGAAGCGCAGTAGCACTTCTTGTTCATGAGAAAGTCCTTGGTGCCTTTGGTCGCTTGGAGAATGATGAAGTATTCAGCCTGGTAGCTAAGAAAGCTCCGATTCGGCTTGCTAGTTGAGGAAGGTATACTTCTAGCACCAGTCCTCAGTTGAGGGCAGACTCAGACTGTTCATTTTGGTCCTTTTCTCCGATCGCAGGGGAGGAGGAGGAGCAAGAAAAGTTGGAGTTGGCAACTAGGAAGATGCGAGTGGATTTAGTGGCCAAGATGATTCAGTGCCTTGCCTTTCGCCAGACGTGATGCAAGGGGCGTGGGACTGGGACTGTTCAGGTGGATGAGGTGGATGGAGTGGGGTTCACCAAACAGTTTGGTGGCAGGGCCGGCAGGCGGCAGGGTGCGAAAAGAACGTTTCAACAGTTGAGCGAAAACAATACAAAACAGATAGGTGTTCAGTCTAAGTCGTATCTTCATCCTTAAGCTTAGTACGGGTGGACTTGTCAAGCCTTAAGCTTAGGTGGACTTGTCATACTTATAGCCAGGCACCTGGACCATGTTGTGACATGTTTAAACACACGATCGGGTCAAGGCAGCTCCGAGCACGGAAGAGAGCGGTGCTCGTGTGATGAAAAGTGGTTGAGAACGAAATCAAAGTCGAGCTGTACATGATACAATTGAGGTTGCTGCTGGTTGGATGGTTGAATAGCAGCTTCAATCAGCGTCACAATTTCCATAGGTTCAAGATGGTTCAAGCCGGGATTCCGTTTGCATCAATTCCAGCCCTACTGTTGATTTCGCAACCTTCTGCTCTGTGCCCTAGAAGTTCAAAGACTTAACGTTTTGACCGACTGAAGTACAGTAAAGGAAGTAAAGGAAGTTCCTTTTCGGGTCGCCTAAAGACAATGCTTAAAATAGTCTTGGACTCCCAGACTGTGTAGAAGATTGTAAGAGCAGAATGGGGCCCCATCTCTCAAATCTTCTTCTCCCCGGTCACGTGATCCGGCCGCTTCTCTCCCAGAATTGGTTTAAGAGAAAATCTACATGAAATCATAGGACACCCACAGTTTTCATCCCCTCAAAACTATGGGGAACCTACAGGAAACCCATGGTTTTCACATCACTATTAGGTTGAAGGCCATCGCTTCTAGGTTGGAGGCCCTTAAACCAATTCCGGCCGCACCAGGGGTGAAGAGGAATCAGAGCCTCCAGTGATGCTGAAGACGTGGGACTTTGGCGGGCAACGCGAGTACTACGCCGGGATGCCCAAGCAAGCACATGAAGCACATGATCATCGTTTGGGGAGAGCTCCCTCCCTGGCCCTGAGGGGTCCACCCCGTTTGGGTGGACTGGTTTGTTTCAGTCACCTGTTGCAGGAGGTCGGAACCTAGGACTGAGCTACACACCCACATCAAAGCGAGGTGTTCACCGAGATGTTCGGCAGCTCTTTGGGATCAACCTCAGGGAGGTGCCTAAACACAAGGGCTGTGTGAATTGGCTGAAACACATGGTGCCAACCATGTTGTCCAACATGGGCCTGGCCCATTTGGATCCAACTTTGCGTCAACTGAACGGCTTTGACTGGAACGTTGAATCAATCCAATGACACCCTGTGGGTCCAAACCCCTTCTTGAGACGCTTGACACCCTGAACAGTCGGTCGGTGGACCTCCTGGACCGCTACCTCGACCGCTGCCGCCCTGCCGCCCTTCCGCGCAGCGGAGGTGATGCACCACCTCTTCTTGACGAATCGGGGGTTTGGGGGCCCAATGGATTCGGGACCAACTTGGGAAGCGGGAAGTGGTAAAGCTCGGGCAACTGCATGGTGATGGATTTCTGTCATATCATTGGTTGCAAGTCTGGCAGAAGAGAAGCACACGAAACCGTATACGACCAGCCACCTAACCAGTTCAATCAGTTGCATCGCACCATTCCCATTTAAGTGTTGCCCATTACAGTGATCAAATGACATCTACAGGGCCCGTGACTCATTCAAACATATTCAAACTATAGCTACTGTAACTAGCCCAGTGGAAGATCCTTTCAAACAGCGTTGAAATCGCTGGCGTCCCGTGTATTTGAGCTTCCACTATACACCAGGGGGACCTCGTTCAGTCTATGACCGGTCTTTGGTTCCGCCACCCCGGGTACCACGGCGGTGAACCCGCGTTCGGTCGGAGGTTCTACATCGTGGTCACCAGACTGGATGCCTGGCTGAACGGCCCCTTGGACGATGACGCCGGCCACTTGCGCTTTGGACAGGAGGAGTGCGCGAATCGTTTGGTCACAGATTGGTTCGTTTTGGAAGTAAAATGGAGGGTGGCATAGGTGAATTGAACTGAAATTCTAGACGGCAATCACTGTGGCCATGCTGTGGCAATAAGAATTCGGTCAATGAATCATGTTTTCAGCTGCACACAGGTGCTTACATCTCCAAAGCAGTAGCTGTTGCCCTCAACCAAAACATGCACAGGAACCAAAAGGTGCTGGCAATCTTCTCCCCATCCGCTTCCATCAGGACGTTGAATAGCGGTGAAGGGATTCCGTGGGGTAATTTTTGGTTCGACAGATTCGGTAGTTACTCCTAAAATTCCAAGCGGCAATTGATAGTTTCCCACATGGACAGTCCACCACCATGTCCATCGATTGAGCACCAAGCTTGCAGAGGCAATCTTGCAGAACACATGCACAATATCCCCCGAAGAATCCCACATGTAGCTGACCCGGCCAAAAACCTTAAAGGGTACCGTCTCCCTTTGGTGGTTGACACGTGGTGTTCGAAGGTGTCAGGTTCTGTTCCTATCCAGGGTGTTTTCCAATCCCGCGGCACCGGTGCAGGACGACGGAGCCTTCGAGCCACCGCTTGATGCGTTGAGCCTGGGATGAGCCATGTTTTTCCGCAGGGATGAGTGGTGAGTGATGAGTGGATGAGGAGTTAGATGAGTGGATGTGGGTCATTGAAAAAGGTTTGATTCTGATATATGTGTGTTTTGTGAGTCTGAAGGTGGAGATGAAGAAATATGGATGGAGTTCAAGAGCAACTGGAATCAGGAGTTGCAATTAGCTTTTGAACCCCTAACAAGTGGAGGTCACTGAAACTGGAGTGCGTGACCACTCTCGACTGCTTCAGGTCGAAGCCCTCCGGAACCGCCGAATGCTGCCGTGGCTGAGGACGTTTTGGCTGTCATCCATCCACGTCCATGCGCCCGATGTGGCTGGGCATCAGTGGCGTGGGGCGCGGCGTGTCCGGCGGTGTCACGGGATGAAAGATCTCCTTGGAAGTGAAGATTCACATGGAACCGGGCGACTGGCATGGACCAGGGTGGAAGACAACTTTTTCTCTACAAACCCAGTAGTTTTCAGGTTCCATCTTAGGAATCTTCCACGCCGATATGGACAGCTTGGGGCTTGGGGAATTGGAAGATCGATGTTGGTCCTTTGTGTCGGGCTGTTGAAGGGTTTGAGGCCGCAGCCTATGCCTGTGATCACATCAGTCACACACATCAGTCACATCAGCAATGCTTTTCCAGCTCAACATCGGCAGCCTTGAGAGAAGTGGAAACTATTGGTTCTCCAAACTCCACTGAGACTGTTGGTCGAGCCCAAGGCCACTCTTGATAGACTTGAGAAAGGGTGCGGTGAGATGCGATTGCACGGCGTGCTGAATTTGCTTTCGTTCTGCACTTAGGAGTACTAGCCGCTAGCTAGCCAGCACTGACAGATCGCCCTAAAACAGATCTGACAGTCATCATCGCTGTTGCAGCTTCGGCCCATGGAAGCCTACTCATGGAAGCCTACTCATCATAAGCTGGGTGGTGGTTTCAGATATCTGAGTATTTTCAACCTGTACTTGGGATCATTGAACCCCACTGACTAATATGTTCAAGTGAGTTGACACCACCAATCAGTAAGGACTTCAAGTCATCCCCGTCCTGCCTAGACATATCCAGACACCGCAGATACCGAGGCTTTGGTGTTCATCGTGGGCAGCCATGCAGATGTGGTCGCCAACCATCCCGATGCCGAGGCGTCCGACTGGAGAGCTCAGGGTCACTGAGAATGGCGATCATCTCAGCAAGCATGCAATCTCCAGGCCTACTCTCCTTATCCCTGGCCCGAAAGGAAGGTTTTTGATGAAGTGTCGAGTCTCTTTCAGGGTTCTTCCAAAGATGATCAATTGTCAATAATCAATCATTTATCTTTCATTGATACCACCCCCTCAAAATCCCTCAAGACTGGCAATAGATGTCCACACATGGTGGCGATTCATGATCTTTTGCTGGGTGAGGCTACAAACTTGTCGGGATTGGAATGAGGAGTGACACCTATGCTGGGCGAACGGCGTGATTCTGAGGTGCGAACATGAAGTAATCAGCACTTTCTGCCCTTCAGTGACCTTCAGCCTCTAATTGGATGCTGGGGGTACTGGGGTTCACGTTTTGTCATTCCCTTCACCAGAAACTCTCTGACAGACTACCAACATGAATAATCATGAACAGAGGTTCCACAAAATAGAGGGTCGTGAAACGGGGTGCAGACTCCATGATCCCGTCCGGTTGCAGGATGTTGCAGGATGATGCAGGATGAGCAGTAGGCCTTTTGTAAGGTTTGCGCCTTCTCTTTGTTGTGAGCCTTTTGTTGTAGGCTGGATGTTATAGAGCCTTCTCTTTCAACAGGTTTGTTCTGTGTTTTGGAGGTGGAACCTGTCGATGTTGGGGTGGAACAGCTCAGACATGCAGGCCCGCGTGGAGGACGAAATTGCCTGGGTGCCCAGGGGGGAGTCGAAGGCTTCTGACGACTGGTGCTGATACCCTCGTGACAGTGCCATACTTGGTGGTGTTGGTTTGGGTCGATCCATGTGTTGGTGGATGCAAGTGCCAAGAGAGGTTAAGTGACCATAAGTGACCTTATATAGAAGACCCATAACCGTTCAACCTCTGTTGGTGCACATGGGCTTTTGTTGCTTGAGCTTACATGGAGCTGGCTCTCTTCGGGTCGTCAGACAGAGTCAGACGTCGTTGAGAATAGCAGATGTAAAGAAACGGGCATTGACCAGGGCCCTGTAACATAAGGGGTGTCCAATCAGAGCTCCTTAGAGGTGATTCGGGATGAACCACCCCTGGCACCAGGGGGCCCAGGTAGAGGTTCACCCCTGAGGGCCCTGGTAGAGGTTGATGTACCCCCCCCTCAGCGAGCCGCTCGGGAGAGTCCACACCGCTTCTCCAAGCCGCGGGACCTGCGAACCGAAGGAGACGCCCGCTATGCCACCATGCGCCATGGGTATGTTGAACCTATATGTTACTAAGAAATGCCATCGTCTTTGCATTTGACATCAAGCTTGACAATCACATCCTGAAGTGTGGAAGGTGTAGAAGTTCAGGTTCAATTTTCTATCGGCGCAGCCGATTTGTTGTCCAGGAACTTCTTCATGCTTTAGCGGACGACATCGGACTGCTTGACAGAGCAATTGATGTTTGACAGAAGAGACCTTGAGACGTCAAAGGTGAGTCAAACAGACCTTGTGAGGTTTTTTCATCAAGACCTTGAGACCTTGTGAGTTAAATCTTGACAGAAGAGATATTAAAGAACCTTGAGCGCGTCATGTGAGTCATGTGCATGGAGCGCCTGGGACTGGAATTGAGTCAGAGAGAGACTGAGACCTTTGATAGACGTTCAACGAGAAGGCCCGTAGTATGGACGGATGTAGATACACTTTCCGTCTTTTGACCTGTTCCGTAGTCCAGTTTGGTTAGAACATGGAAACACAGCCATTTTTTGAGAGCCATTGCACGACGATGTCATTTAATTGTTCAACTGTTCAACCCTAATTGGGAATGACTACCCCAGGCTGACTAATACTTTCGGGAAGAGTTCCAAACCACACAAAATCACCATCCAGGCGAGATTTGTGTTGGAGCTGCCATGAAACCGGCCATTTGTGAATTTCGATTTCGCGGCTGATGGAAGATGCACTACTTGACAGGCAGGGCAGACGGTGACAGCGGTCTTCTTTGTTGAAATGCGATCTGAGGAAGAGCTGGGACAGAAATCATGAGGAAATCAAGACATGTCAGACAGCTGCTGACTTTTCAAGTGCCTTTTGCCACAGTGGTATACTACCGGGTTCCCTAGTTTAACTGGCTTTGTGACATGTGGGCAACTTGGCCCAACTGTTCGGCAGTCGAGAACAGTTGGGTGACAAGTTCAGGAGCCAAACATCCACCAGGACCCTCAAGTTTTTAACATCTCTTAACCTTTAGCAGGCTACTCAGACAGGGGGTTAACACCTCAGGTCTATAAGGGTCCTATAAGAGATAGACATCTCTTAAATAGACACCTCAGACAGGGGGTGTCCTACCATTCATCAGGGCAGCGCACAGCACAGCGCAGCGCTGCGCCGCGGCCCCGCGCTGCAGTCCCAACGGTGAGCCCTTCCAGTTCAGCGATGAATTGCCCGATGCCAAGGAGCCTCCGAGTGACGGAGCGATGGGGCGCTTCGCCTTCCCAAAGCCTCTCCAAATCGGTGGTGGACTTGAGTGGAGATGCCTAATGAGAGAGGTTGAGCAGCCCTATATAGCCTATATCAGTACCACTACTAGTACCACTACTGTATATAGTTTTTGGCCTAGCTTTGGGTATGGCTGGAGCTTCGCAGAAGGGATGAGTCCAGAGTTTTCCTATTCAAGGAGGTGGTGGCAACCACCAGCTTTTTGTATGGGGTTTGTTTGGTGTGATTTGTTGGACACTTGTGTGAAGCGTACCTCTATTGAAGCGGCTGTGGAAGTTATTCACTGACATAGGGTCCCAGTTCCGTGCAGAACTTGAGAAAGCTAGAGCTGTTAGGAAGGGTTCAAGTATTCGACCTTTCAATGATTTGACCTATTTACATGTATAATGTATGTTATATAACATATGTAACCTTATCGTCCTTTCTTATGCAAGCACAAGCTTTGCAAGATGCAAGTTGCGCTAATGTACACAGCTTGCATGTTTGACATTTCACTTCTTCAAAAAACACTCACGCTCAGACATATGTTTGAGAACTTGTAAAAACTGGGCATTGGCCCCTGATGCTTCTGTTCATCCAGGACCTTGACGCTTGGGCTACGATTATCCCAGTGGCCTCGCTGCCTCCCTTGCAGCTTGCAGGAAATCGCCATGAGGAGCATGTTTGGATCCCGTTGCTGTTACCTCATGTATCCACATACCTTCTCAGAAAGTATTTGGGCCTTAAGCCTACATAAATAACCTTCTCCCTTCTCAGAAGGTATGTGGATCCATAGAGGTAGGCTTTTGCGACACCTACAGTGTTCTTCGGTCATAGAAACGCCATATCGTGAAGATTGATGTCATCCAATATGTGCCGGGCCATATAGTTCTTTTCTTTCCAAGCAGGTATACTCCAAAAAAACATGGTTCTTTAACCAGTTTTGGGGACACCCAACCTTTCTTCACTGGACGATCGACTTCAAACACCAGGAGCTTCCCCCGCGTCTCAGCCCTTCTTTTCCCGTCCCGTCCCGTCCCGGAGCAACTCGCCCAACTCGCCGTTCCCTCGCACCGAAAACACCGAGCTGATGGGCCATGGGCGGTCATGGACTGGAACCTGAGGCCGCCAAGGGATCCCAGTTTCTGCTCGGAATCTGCCACCGGCCTGGCCATCGTCGCAGCCGTGCCGCTGGGTGAGTTCGTGCGGCGGAGGGCGGATCTGCTTGATTCAGGGGACGGAGAAGAGAGCTATGGTCTGGCAGTTGAAAAATGGTAGAACACCATAATTACAAGCTGGTGTGTCCAATTCCCTTTAAGTTGGGCACCAGGTTCATGAGAGCTCTTCAGCTGCGCTTCTGAACTTCCCCCAAGGTTTTTGATGGGTCGGAACTTCTCTCTGAATAGGGATAACTCTTGAGTGAAAGGATAGGTGTGGTTGTGATGGCATGAGAAGGACTTGTGGGAACTCATCTACAATCAGTTCAGTTCGGAGAAAAGCATGAGGTACCAATGATGGAAGCTCGGAGTTGCCCTGAAGAGTGATGGAACGATCGGTGCAAGTGATGGAACTGGAGTCTCACCAGGTCGACCGGACCGTTGGATCAGACATGGACCACTCGACGTTTTTTCGACGATTTTGTCTGGATTTGTATTGGATAGTAGATGGATCTTAAGATATCCATGCATCAAATTCCCTCCTTCCATGCCAGTCGCATCAGTCACTTGACGTGTTCTTTCGCCACTCTGAGGATCGTCAGCCTTGTGGGCAGTGTGCCTGGTCGGACTAGGTGTCATCAGCAACAGGCTTGGTGTCAAACTATTTAGACCTATCATACCAGCAGTCACAAAGGGGTGCGATCCATGGAGGTTAGGGGTGCCCAGAACATCCACTCACTGGATGGAACTAAACACCACCCCGTCTTGTGACTCCTGGTATTTAGACTTTCTTGACAGACTCCAGACACGACCTGTCTGGGACTGCCAGGACGGACTGCCTTCAAAACGGCCAGGGGTGGGGCCAGAGGGGTCAATGGGGTGGCAGTCCTATGGCAGTCCCATGGAGTGTTTGGGGATATGGTTGAACTTCGCCATTTGACCAAACTATTTTTGAAAGGGCCTCATCACGGATGCTACAGATGCAATCATTCTTGAAGCTTTCGCTGGACATGCCCCGCTTCAAAGTACCAGATCTACGTATCTTGATTGAGGTGAATCCAATGTGCCGCTCATTGCCAACTTGAGTGAGAGACTCCCTGTCTTGACAGGGTCTCCACGGTCCTTCTTTCCCTCAGAATTGAATTGACTGAACTATCCTCACAATGATCTACGAGGTCTCAAGGCGACATGTGTACAAGGGAATACCAACAAGGTGCCGAGATCCCCGATTCGATCGGCTTCCGCCATGGTCTTGAGCTGGAGCGAATGAGGTCCACCTTAGTCTTGGCCCGCCCAGCTCCTGGCAGATGCCTTTGTGCCCTGGCGGAGATTTTTGTTCGTCATATGTTTCCTCGCGAACAAATATGACACAGTTGGTGCGGA